ATGGGCGGGGTCTGTCCCTCCATACATCAGGGGGCGGGGTCATATCGTGACATAGGCGGAGTTTGTCCCTTGATATTGCAGGGCTGGGCTCGTATCATGACATGGGCAGGGTCCGGCTCTGGGTTTGGGGCTCATATCACGACATGGGGGTGTCCTGACCCCGATATTGTGGGTTTGGGCTCATGTCGCGACATGGGGGGTGTGTGCCTGGGTTTGGGGCTCATGTCGCGACATAGGCAGGGTCTGTCCTTCCCTGATATTGTTGGTTGGGGGCTCATGTCGCGACATGGGGTGGGTGTCCTGTCCCCGATACTGAGGGTTTGGGGCTCATGTCACGACATGGGCGGGGTCTGGCCCTGAGTTGAGGCTCATGTCATGACATGGGGAGTCTGCCCTGGGCTCATATCACAATATGTGGGGGCTCATGTCACGACATGGGGGGGTCCGTCCTTGGGTTTGGGGCTCATATCGCGATCCGGGGTCTCATGTCGCGACACGTCCCTGTCGCAGCGCGGCAACCCCGTGCTCCGGTTCATCCGAAACGTCCCCTGGGAGTTCGGGGACGTCGGCCCCGACTTCGTCCTGGGCACCTCCAGCTGCGCCCTCTTCCTCAGGTGAGGCCGCCCCAAAGTGTCCCCAAATGTCACCCCGGGGTCCCCAGGTGTGCCCAGGTGTCCCCAAAGTGTCCCCAAATGTCACCTCGGGGTCCCCAGGTGTGTCCTGTGTCCTCAGGATGTCCCCAGGTGTGCCCAGGTGTCCCCAAAGTGTCCCCAAATGTCCCCTCAGGATCCCCAGGTGTGACCCCAGATGTCCCCAGGTGTCCCTAAAGTGGCCCCAGGATGTCCTTCATGGTCCCCAGGTGTCCCCAAAGTGTCCCCACAGGGTCCCCAGGTGTGTCCCCAGAATGTCACCAGGTGTCCCTAAAGTGTCCCCGAGTGTCCCCTCAGGGTCCCCAGGTATGCCCAGGTGTGACCCCAGATGTCCCCAGGTGTGCCCTGTGTCCTCAGGATGTCCCCAGGTGTGTCCC